CACCTAATATTTATTTAAAATAATTAATAAATGTTATTTTCAGAAAATTACATTACGCCATATCTTGGTCGAAAAACGGTTGGAGCATATACCGGCGAATAGCCTTTGTAACACTTTTCGTTTTATACCCATTTGTTTTTTGTATTGTTTTTTCATGGCAATATTCTCTTTTTTTGTGATGTTTTTTGTCTTGTATGTGACTGCAGTCTCCAAAATCTGTGACGTCTTATTGCCACTCCGCATGACGTCATACCATCTCCAAAGAATTCCCCGTGCCCCGCATTTCCCTTGCAGTTCCCGAGTTAGAATTCCCACAGCATTACTACTTATACCGATTTTCGTCTTGGCTTTCATAGCCAAACAGCGGTGGCAGCAACTTTCTCTCCGAGAGTCTGTCGCAGTAATACGTTTCCGTGCCTTCTCGGCGAGTATTTTATCAGCTACGGGTCGTTTTGCGAGATTTTTGTTTCATGAATAAGCTATGTTGTGTTCGCCACACGCTGAGTCCAACGGATTAATGCCTCGATCGCCTCTAGTCATTTGCTTTTCTAAAAGCGTTCCTGGACTGCAAAATTGATATCCGGGGATACGTAATTCGAATGGAAGTGCGTTTAAAAAGCCGCAACCATTTGTTGTTGTAGTTAACATTCGCAACAATTTTTTATAAATGGTGTCAGACCATCGATATGCGATCGATGACAAGGCAAATTACTTCAAGCACCGACGATGTTCTTGAACTTCTGAGCTTTTATATGCTCAGGTAATCAGTCCCACAGTTGATATATGTAATTCTTTCGTAACAAAATAATTTGTGGTATATATTCCTCTTTGGCTTAAACTATGTACATCGCAGTTGTCCGACACAATAAGAAACATTTTCAATACTGAGCAGTTTTCGCTCTACGCGCTTCTATAAATAAGTCCGTTCTCGGTGCAATTTTTTCAGTTTATATCAGTACCGTGGAGGGGAGGGGGTGAAGATATGTGATTCGTGCTACAATCGCAAACAATCAAAGTAACGTCGACAACAAAGTACAGACTAAAAAAGAAATGCGCAAGCATGGGAACATGTTGCCGATTTCTATACGTGGTATTATCTGCGGTCCATCAAACTGCGGCAAAAAAAACGTGCTGATAAGTTTACTGGAAAGTCCACATGGCGTACGTTTCGAGAACATGTACATATACTCGAAATCGTTGCAACAGTCAAGATACTTGGAGAATTTATTAGCCCCGATTGAAGAAACTTTATTTTACATTCTCCAATAATAGCGATGTTGTTTCACCAAACGAGGCGCTTCCAAGTTCTATATTTATTTTTGACGACGTGGCATGCGATAAGCAAGATGCAATCAGAAAATTCTTTGCGATGAGTCGACACGCGGACGTCAACAGTTTTTATCTCTGTCAGACATATGCAAAGATACCGAAGTATCTTATAACGTAATAATGCAAATCTGTTGATCCTGTTCAAATAGGATAATACCAATCTAAAACATGTACTATATACAATAATCATGTAAATATCGACATGTCTTACGAGGATTTCTGCGAATTGTGTCGCTGCTATTGGCAGCAAAAGTATAGATTCGTAGTGATAGATAAAGACAGTGCGCTCACAAATGGACGATAAAAGAGGAAAAGGATTTAATTAATACGCGAAATATCGTAACATAGTTGGTCGTCGTCGATACGTAAACTACGCAATGTTCCCTCTCGAGTATAATGGATAGCAGCAAGGATGAGAGGGTAGCGAAGCAAATTGCGAAAACCAGTGATTCGATTCATAAAAAGTATTGCGCTTTGAAAATCAGTAAAATAGAAGAAGACATAGTGTTGGAGAGACACTTTCAACCTATTGTTGAATCTCTGAAACAGATGATCGAAAACATCGCTAATAAGAATCTCAGCCGATTAAGAAAGAAATAAATGTTGCAAAGGATAAAAATATTAAGAAAAGAAAACTTAATGGTAACGAAGATAATGAAGATGATGATGATAATTTCTGGAAAGATAAAGCATGGCTTTAATTAACACCATCGCCTAAAAAGCAACGCACAAAAGAACCGATATTCACGTCAAATTCATTTAATTTTACATTGATCACATCACGCAAATTATCGTACGAACATTTACACTCTTTCTTAGCCGAAGACATTTATGAAATGCCCAATGAACCGCTTAGTTAAATAGTCTTTGCAAACGCAACAAGTGAGGAGTTGCATGATCAACTGGGGCCGCTGGGACAAAAATAAACATGTTTCTCGGTGGTGATAGAGAAAAGGAGATCATATTTATGTATATCTCAGCGAGAACAGCACGATGCTTAGAGATAAACAGTTCGATTTAGACACGAGTGATTTCGTGATCATAGATGGAGTTTTCGTGATCATAGATGGAGTAAAGTACAAAGGTACACCTGGATTGTATGAATTAATTTTCAAAAGAATTCCTAACACTATTTACACAGATAATGATGAAGTAGCGTATAAAAGTATACTGTTGGCAACGAAGTGTAGTCAAAGCGGATCATCCAATAGTGAGTACAAATATAAGAATATACTGTAATAGCACTTTTGGTGTCAGATAAAATACAAGTTGGAACGGGCATACCACACGCCAGGAAACTAAACAAGAAATTAGGTAAAAAAGTCGGAAAAGGTATAATACCGCATGCCATGACCCTAAATGAAAATAAAATGGATTATGTTCATTGGGATGATCCTAACGAACTTGTGGATCTTCGATTGCTTGAGGCTTCGCGTCAAGCAGGTTACAATGCCCATGATAACAAAATCTTATCCATTGTCGAGGAGCTTCGTGAAGCTGGTTATAAATTGAAACGAAGATACGCAGTAATTTTAGTCGACGTTGAAACCTCGATCAACAACGTTTGCATAAGATCTTTGTAACATTTTTTGCATCGTATACCACAACAAAAAATGTCTGAGAAGAAAAGTCTTAAAAAGTGGCAATTGGTGAAAGAACGCTCCAGCGAGAAAAAATTTTCTACGCAAACGTGTCATAGTTTACGGATACGATGACCCTGACTAGCTAATGTGGTCGAAATGCGCCCTTACCACTACATGCGTATCGTTATTGACGTAATATGCATGGGCCATACCGCTCAAAACAAAGAGTGGAAATGAGATGGCTACAGCGATAGTAAAGATAATTCGAGACGATAGAAGATGCTCGAAACATTTGCAAACCGATATGGGAAAAGAATTTTGCAACACAAACGTGCAAAAACTCTTGAAAAAATACAACATAAATCATCATTTAATGTATTCCATCAATCATTATTCAATGTATTCCATAATGAAGGCATCAATCATCGAACGGTTCAATCGTACATTGAAAAATGATATGTGGAAACAATTTACGCATAATGGAAATTACAAATGGATCGACTTGCTACTGCATCTCATATCAGAGTACAACGCACGAAAACATCGAACTATCGATGTGACTCTCACAATCGCCAACAAACTTTTAAACACGGTGTATAGTAGCGTAAAGGCCGTTGCACTAATTCCCACAATTCAAAGTGACTCGATACGTGTGAGCAAATTCAAAACGATCTTTGAGAAAGGTTACACGTCAAATTGGACCATGGAGATGTTCAAAATCGTCAAAGTACAGAAAACTAATCCCGTGATGTATCTTCTGAAAGATTATCGCGGAAAACTGATCGCTGGAGGATTCTAAGAGTTACATCGCGTCGCTAATCCCGACGTATATCTAGTTGAAAAAGTGTTATTAGTGCAAAAAGAGAAATGATGTTTATGTAAAATGGTTTGGTAATTCGCATAATTCATGGATACACAAGAACAATGTGTTATAAATGAATGTATTTCTACAAATTATATATTAGTATATATTTATTACAATATGCAAACAGGTAATTGAGATTTTTTTTATCAAAAATACATAATATAAACATACAAAAATAAATTTTTTTTATTACAAATACATAAGTGTACAAAAACAAGATTTATTTTACTTATTTCTCCTTTTTTTTATATAGTAATATTTTATAATGTCCCCATAGCAGTGTGTCTGTAGAATTTGGCACAATGTATCGCTTGTCATCGGACTTAGAGCAATTTCCGATATCGTGTATACTTCGTGCAATTTCAATCTTATGCACGGTGCTTATTGTCTGCTGCTTCATTTCGATTTCGTTATTTAGACATCGTATGTAATCATCAAATGTTATCGATCTCGCTATAGCGTTATTTTAGACTCCTTTTGCCTTCTTCACATTCTTTTCCATCGACGTGCAAGGGGTAAATTTTTGCTCTAAACCCGACGATTTATTCGATCATAATCATGTCGTTGTTTTTATCTTTTATTAAGCCCGGAACTTTTTTATTAGCGAGCGGAATACAGTACGCATTGTTGACCGCATAATCACTAATGTCAAATCGGTCGATATCACGTTTCATAATATCGTAGACGTTGTCGCACTTGATGTAGTAAATGAGACTATCCGTATCAGTGTACATAATTTTACAATTTTTGCGAAATGCCACGTACTCGTAGTGAAATTTGTACAAACATGTTGTTGCGCCAAATTAATGGGTCACGAGAAGAAGAATGATACACTCAAAGACTGTTCGGCGAATATGCACGCCCTTTATTCGACAACGCAATCCACTGGACTCTCACTACAAACCATAACCTCGCTAATCTCGCTTCGTTCGCGCATCGCTGCACACAACACAATAGCAGCGAACCGGGAAAAAAACCCAAAAACAAAAACGTACCAACGGCCGAACACGTGAGCGAAAACGCTCCCGTGATGCCTTGCGCGCGGGTTACGCGTATTCTTTTGGGCGCGAACCGCGCATTCTACTTCTCTCCCACCTTGAGTTCCTCACGATCTGGGTGCAACTCAACCTATCCAAAAAGGCAAAGTAAATAAAAAAAATTTAAAAAATGAAGTTAGGCTTCAAATCGTTCTGGCTTCTTAATAAGTCGTCCGCTCCGAGTTCTTAGATCCGTTTCTTCTGTAGGAACAGACTCCGGCTTCTCCTCGACGACCGACTCCTGCTTCTTCTGCGGGCCAGACTCTCTCCATCCTGAGGCGAAGCTTTGATTGACTCACGGACTCTGCTAGCTTTTTCCGCGTGATGACCCACCTCCAACGGGATCAGTCTTTGTATTGGGCGAATTAATTCTCCCTTTTCCGTTTTCAGTCTCACAACTCTGGTATGTCCGTCCTTTCCAGGAAGGACTTCTTTGACTATTGCCAGCGGCCAATCCAAACGTCTTTGGGTGTCGTTTCCGACTAGTACTACGTCGCCCACTGCAACCTGCGTGAAACTGCTCTTGCATTTCGTCCGTCTGGATAATTGTCCTAGATACTGGATGCGAAAACGCCTTCTCAATTCTTCCTTTAGACTTTGGCGATAACGGATTCGTTTTGCAAAGTTTATTTTGCTGATCTGGTCCAAATCGGGAGCGCCAGCTTCCTTGATGTCTCTAATGAATATGTCCGGCGTGATTGCCATGGTCTCAGTACTCTCTTCTGTCATGTAAGTAAGCGGTCTTGAATTCATAACAGCTTCACAGTCGCACAAGACCGTGTTCATCTCTTCGTAACTCAACGAAGTTCTCCTCAGCGTTCTCCTCAGCAAATCCTTGAGGATGCGGATGAGGCGCTCCCACCATCCTCCCCACCAAGCAGCTGAAGGTGGATTGAAATTCCATTCGATTTGGCTAAGAGAGCAATATCGCTGAATTTTCTGCCAATTAATTTTTCGTAGTAAATTCGCTAGTCCTATGAAATTTCTGCCATTATCGCTATAGACTACAGAGGGCCTTCCTCGTCTGGCTATAAATCTTCTGAAGGCTTCTATAAATTCCTCCGAGGCCTTACATCCTTCCTTCAAGAAAAGAGGACCTGCGTAATCGATGCCTACCACCTCGAATGCTGCTGCCTCTCGTACTCTATTTTCTGGCAGCGGTGTAAATGGCGCTTCCATGTTCCTCGCTGCGTGTCGACGGCAAGCCGTACACTTGTGAACGATGGAACGCACCGTTCGTCGGTACCGAAGAATCCAAAACTTCTCTCGTAGATTGTTCATTACAATCTCGGTTCCAGCGTGATTGAGTTTCAAATGAGTATACAGGATAACTCTCCTCGTCGATAAGTGCTTTGAATCCAACACTATAGGATATCTGAAACAGAAAGTGTCTTGACGATTAGAAATTGCTGTTTTAATACGCATAATTCCCTTTTCTTCGAAGACGTTCAATCCTCGCAGCCGTGGATCGTTTACTCCCATGAATGATTCTTTCTGAGCTAACTTACAGAGGAGTAATTCTGCTGTACTGATTTCTTTCGCGCTTAACTCTCCTCCGACTGATGCGTGGATTCTTCGGGAATTATTAGTAAATCTTAACACCCATGCTATCATTCGTAAGATCTTTGCGTAGCTTGAAAATCTTTCCAAGTACCAAGGGACGTCTTTTTCACAAGCAATCATGGCGATCCCTTCTGTCGTAGCTTTAGGGGGAGTCTCTTCTTTAAGTCGACCGGAAGTTTTGCGCAGCTCTATATTGACTACCTCTTCGTTAATCTCTTCTTCTTCGGACGGCCATTCTTCCGGGGGCAGCGAATAGCTCCAAAAATATCTTTTAATATCTCGATAATCCATTGCCTTGTCGAAAGAATGCATCATCCGCGCTCCAATGGAAGCAGCCAGTAATTCGAGACGCGGTATCGTTTTCTTGCTTTTGAGTGCTATTCTCGATTTAGCTTCCACTAGATGAACCTTGACTTCCGTGTCTGATTCGATACGCACGATAAGAACAGCAATATATGCATCTTTGCTTGCATCTACGAACATATGCAGGGACAATGTATCTGTACTTCTTATCTCACCGAAAATCCAGCGTGGGAACCTCAAGATCCGGAGAAGATCCAGTTGCTGCGCCCAATCCAAGAACTCCTTTTTTCTATCCGGATCAATTTCCGTGTCCCAATTTAAACCTTCGCTCCAAAGGCGCTGTAGCAGTAGTTTTGCTTTCATCAACACAGAACAGATCACTCCTAATGGATCAAAAACCTTCTGCACGTGCGATAAAACAATTTTCTTCGTTATCCTTTCTGCGGTGGGTTGTAGGGGGAAACCCGACAACGAAAGAGTATCCTTTTCAGTATTCCATATTAGTTCAAGTACTGTCGATCGAGTCTTGCATCTCAGGCCTGTGTACTTCCAGTTTCTTAAGTCGAATCTTGCTTTATCCAAAACGGAACTTGCTTCTCTCTGAAAAATCTCGAAGTCCTCGTAAGAATCGACACTGGTGATGCAATCGTCAACGTAAAAGGATCTTAACAATTTCTTGTAAATTAATTTCTCGTGTGTCGAAACAGTAGAATTTAACGTATTCTCAATGAGTAATTTTATGGTGGCTCCTAGAAGGAAAGGGCTGCTAGTTATTCCAAAAACAACCCGACGATGACGATAAGTCTCGATTTCGCCGTTAGTATCCCACAAAAACCTTAGGACATCTCTATCTGATGGGGAAACGTTAATTTGTAAAAAGGCTTTAGCAATATCTGCTGTTACTCCTATCCTCTTTTCTCTGAATCGATGTAGCAATGCTGGAACAAGCTCAATAAGATTGGGTCCCGTTTCTAAACACTGGTTGAGCGACGGCGTATCCTTCTTCTTGGCCTAGGCATCGAAAACGGGTCGAATCCTAGTGGTTCCTTCTCTCTTGACAACTGGTCGATGTGGAAGGTAGTAACTCTCTCTGTCAACTTCATGCACAGGT